TGAATCAGGTTGATCTAATAAGTTAAGCAGTTGTAGATGTACATCCTGTGATTAAACATTTAAAATATCTATGTAGCTACATCTAAGACAATAGGCAGGTGAATAAAAAGTCAACCCATATTAAAACCATTCTGTCCATGATAAGGCTGAAGATTTATTTTGCGTGTACTTTGAACATTTTAGGGTAAAACTCAAAGAGCTAAAAGCTGAAAGTCGTGTGTGTAGTGACAAACGTTTCATTTGGTGTCAGACTTTAGACATTATTATAATCAGGTGCTGGTCTGCATGTTCCGGTAGGAAGGCATGAGACAGTTTGAACATGTGTAGTGGCGACCGACCTTGACTACAACAAACTAATGTGCATGTGAACAAGTTGGTGTTTGTGATGGGTCAGCTTTGCTGGACGTTACGAAGCTGATGGTGATGTGCATGTAATGTGAGTAGCACAAAACAAACAGGCACCAAAGCCAACATTTTGGTGCCTGTTTGTTTTGCAAATTTATTAGTGTTTGTGAATGACCAGCATCAATCTGAAACACTTTGTAGAACGATGCTTCATGAAGTTCTGTCCGCTTCTTTGCATTAAATCAGTGGTCCCCAACCACCGGGCCGCGGACCGGTATCGGCTGTAATTTAGCTGCGTGGTTTGGAGCAGACAGGATAGGAGGAGGCGCGCAGTCGTGTCTGCGCATTTGAAGGATCACTGCATATTTTTCAACCCGCCTGACAAAGAGTGACTGTAAAACTATTAACTAAATAAAACTATAATTTTAAACAAAGCTTCTTAATATCAAATCCAAGCTGGTTTTGTCTTAAACATTTTTAAATTCCCATCAGAGCTGGTCCTTCGTATTTCTGCTTCTGCTCTTAAAAATTATCTGCTCCTAAAAGTTCAAAGTCATGGGCAATTTTATAAAAAAAACACAATAATTAAAGTTTTGCACTATGCATAAGTTCCTGCGCTTTTGTGTACAATCTGATGTGTGAATCACTGCGGAGCAGGGAGGAGGATGACGAGGCTCAGCTGACCCCGGTGTGGGATATACTAATTAAATGAGAAATGATCCTGCACTTAATACACTTATAAATCACACACAAAGTGATTAAAAGTAAATTTGAAATACAAGTGCTGGTCATAAAATTAGAACGTTGTGAAAAAGTTTATTTATTTCAGTAATTCTATTCGTGAAACTTGTATTCGTTACACACAGACTGATATATTTAAAATGTTTGTTTCTTTTAATGTTGA